AACGCTTTTTAATGAAGTAACAAAACACTTCTAATGAATTCTTATAATAAACTGTTGTTTTTTTCACTTCTATAATTATGTATTTTTTATGATAAATGTTAATCTTTTGAAACAAATTTTTTAAAAAAAGTAAAAATGTTAAAGAAATGAAATGTTTTTTTAATGTATAATTATTTACTTGTTTACATTTACATGGAAACTGATATTTTTAAATTAGTTAAAAAAACACTCTAATCAAGTGTGAGTATATTTTAGAAAATCATTAAAAGTAAATTGTATTTTGTTTATTAATTTTTATTAATGTTCTAAACATTAATAAAAATAAAATATTATTCTAAATGTAATTAAAAATTTTATTTAAATAAACTAAGCATTTTATTTTGTTGAGTTTTGTTTTAGTTGGGTTATATATAATAATATATAAGAAAAAAAAATTTTAAAGAAACAGAAAAGAAAAAAATACTTACAGGGTTATTCATTCTTATATACGTGTCTATTCATTTTTATATGCGCCTTTATTTATTCTTATATGCGCATTTAATCATTTTTATATGCGCATTTATTCTTATATGCGTATTTATTCTTATATGCGTATTTATTCTTATATACGTATTTATTCTTTCTTATACACGCATTTATTTATTCTTATATGTTTATTCATTCTTATGTGTTTTAAAAAAGTAATTTGAACAAAAAAAATCATTTTACAAGTAAGCAATTTGCTTTGAAAAAACAATTTATTTTTTCAAAACAAATTTTTTTATTTTCTGGTAAACAAGGCAACCATTTTTTAAATAAATTGCAGTGGCAACAAAGTAATTTATATTTTAAGTATATCTAAAAACATTAAAAAATTAATGCCAATTTATTGTTTATATAAAATTATATTAGAGATTTTATGGGTGGTTGACTTGCATATAAACGCGCATATAAGAATGAATAAATGCGCATATAAAAATGAATAAATTCGCATATAGGAATGAATATAAGAATGAAGAAACACGCATATAAAAATGAATAGATGCGCGTATAAGAATGAATAACCCTGTAACTAAAGCAAAAACACAAAATATTATACATATATATATATATATTATATATATATATATATATATACATATATATACATATATATATATACATATATATATATATGTATATATATATATATATATATATATATATATATATATATATATATATATATATATATATATATATATATATATATATATATATATACACGTGCCACTAAAAACAACTTTTTTTGAAATTGTGTGCTGCCACCCCCTAAATGTGTTCTATATAATAAATTAACACTAAATTAAAAAAATTTTGAATAAAAAAAAATTTTAGGGGTTGCTCAAGACCCTTAAACATCAAACGAGTCCCTAATATTTTGAAAAAAAAAGTTCTTCAAAAGCATATCATGTTGGATCTCAAAAGAAGTGAAATTTTATAAAAATTTCAAAAATAAAAAAAACTATAATTTTTTGACAAAAAAAATCAAAGTACATATTTTCAAATTTTTTTTAAATAAATTTTTTAATTTGTGTTTCCATAAATTATTTTTATTATTTTTGAAATTTTCATAAAATTTCACTTCTTTTGAGACCCAACATGATATACTTTTGAAGAACTTTTTTTTTCAAAATATTAGGGACCCGTTTGATGTTTAAGGGTGTTGAGCAACCCCTAAAATATTTTTTTATTCAAAAAATTTTTTAATTTAGTGTTAATTTATTACATAGTACACATTTAGTGGGTGGCAGCAGACAATTTCAAAAAAAGTTGTTTTTAGTGGCACTCTAATATATATATATATATATATATATATATATATATATATATATATATATATATATATATATATATATATAAATATATATATATATATATATATATATATATATATATATATATATATATATATATATATATATATATATATATATATATATATATATATATATGGGTGCGATCGCACTCAATAATTGACCATGGAAATAATATTTAGTTGCGAAAAAACGGCCAGATTTTTTAGTCGTTTTGAGAACATTTCAAAAACAAACAAAAAAGCGCAATAAGATTAACTGGACCGATGAGAGACAGTTAAAAAAAGAAAAATAGCTTTAAACGCGAAAAAACTTAATTCAAAATAAATATGATTAGAGCAAATATTTTTGAAACGTCGCTCTTTTATAATTTTTTTTATAAAATTAAGTGACATTTTTTATATAAAGAAACAACTTACCAATAATGATTGTTTAATAAGAAAACAAATGTTCTCTGATTTATCAATAAGTATATATAATATTTATTTATATGCTTGTCTTATTTCCAGTGTTGGATTGAGGAGGGGGAGGAGTAGAAGGGTTATAGCCTCGGGACTCACAATGTTAGGGGCCGCGAAATAGTCAAGAGGACCATTCTGTATTTCTTTCAGTCATTTTTACGCTGTGGCACATAATAAAGGCCGCCAAAATAATGCAGTCCCCGGCCCTGAAAAGTCCAACAAGATTCAACTAACAAAACTAACGCTAGATGATTTATTGA